TAAAAACTAGAATTTGCTATTTTCAAAGAAAAGAGGAACAATTATACAAACTTCTATTTTTTATTATATAAATAAAAATAAAAAAGATATATCTAAGGATAAATATATGTACAAAATGTGTGTAAAATTTTTTGTGAACTTTATTTTTGAAAAAATTGACTTTAAAAAATTCAGAAAACTGATAATAGATCTAACTAAATCTTGTATTATGCATTACATTATCGAATTTATTTTGACATTGCTTACAAATAGATAAAAATAGATGTAACAAATAGATGAAAAAAGAGATAATATTCTTCGTTAAAAAAAAATAAAGTTCTTTTTAATGCTTTTTTTACATCCAATTTTTTTAGAAACTTCAATTATTTTAAATCTTTATATTAAATAGAATGTTATACTTTTATGCTAGTTTATTAATAACTGCGATAAATTCAACGATATATAACATAAGTAATTGACAGTCATTCATTATGCTTAAAAGAGTATAAATCATGTTATAAATTTCTCAAATGTCAAAATCAACTGTCTAATAAACGCAATCTCGCACGAAAAAATTTTATATTTTTGCTCACGAGTAATCATTTTATTTCAGTTGTATTATATTTTTCTACTCTTATATTTATATATTTATATTTATATTTTTTAATATATGTTTCTATATATTTTATATATTATATATATGTATTCGCATTTTTATTCATCTTGACATGATAAAATAATAAATTCTTTTCTTTCTCTCTCTCTCTCTCTCTATTTACTTGACTTTCTTTATTACACATAATGCCATGATCCATGCTTCCATACTTGAAACACATCTTCAACTATTGAACCCTTTTCGGAGTTCATGTTTGCGTAATAAATGGGCAATCTGCCCGTAGTCTGTAACCGTTGCTCTATTTTCATTTTAGCAAAGGCGTATTACGTACAAAAATTTGCGTACCGTGTTAGAGATTGGGCCAACTCCGGATTGTGACGAATTATTCTTAGCCAAGAAGATAATGATCTTTCGTGACGATCGATCAGCGTCAACATGCGCGTATATATACACATACAGATTTACGAAATGCTGCAAAATACCGTGACAACGACGAGAACATGTTGCTATGATAAATTTGTTCGTCGTAAACTGAATTGACATGAGATTTTATCAACAACTTTAATATCGAAAAATTCTCTTCTCTTGTTGCTTTACTATAATATTTTTGAGACTACTAATTTAATAGCATAAAGCTGCTACAAAAAGCCAACCAATCAACTAGAAGATTATGTAATATGTAAATACGTTTTACGATTATGTAATATGTAAATACAAAAAGAGACTCGAAAAAAGATGAAATCGTACGAAAGACTGTTTGTCAAAATGGCGATTATGTTATCTTTATTTTCAATTTTTATAATTATTACTTGCATGATTAACGATAAGCGTCTATCTTGGCAAAATTATCTTATTAAGAATGAGCGTCTTCCTTGAACGCATTCGTCGAAAAATTTAATGCTTTGAAAAACTAAATCTATCTCTTTATTCTCTCCTTGGAAAAAGTGGACGTACCGGTTCTTGAGAGAAAAAAAAAAAAACGAATTCTCGAACAAACGAATAAAACAGGAAGCGTTTGTATTCTAAGCCGCCGATTATGATACGTAAGGGCGGATTTAATACGGTTTTCGGGAGCTACCTGTGTTACGTGTAAGGAAGGTAGAACAAAGAAGCGTTCCTTATGTAGGAGTGTACGACGTGCGGGAGCAGGTCGTGAGAGGAGGACGGGAGCGGGGTGCGAGAGGAAGAAAACAGGAAAGATCGCCTGGACGAAGATAGCGCGGCACAAAGACGTCTCTTTTGCTACCCCGCTGAGCGCTGATATCAGCATCTTTCTCTCTTGTTCTCTCTTTCTCTTGCTTGCCTGTTTAGCTTGTTATTTTCGCCCACGTCAAGAGCGGAGAAAGGGAGAGTACGCGAGAGAGAGAGAGAGAGAGAGAGAGAGAGAGAGAGAGAGAGAGAGAGAGAGAGAGAGAGAGAGAGAGAGAGAGAGAGAAGAGAGCCTCATGGAAGATCGAGCTAAGAGCAGGATCGGATTTAGGATAAGCGAGTTGTTTTCATAAAATTCTCGGATCTTTTTCTGCACAAAATATATATTTTGCACCGAAAAATATATCGAGATATATATCAGAGAGCTACATATCATTTGCAAAGTAAACAAATTTTATCAGATTGTTGTTGAAGCAAGTCGTGCTCTTTTGGCATCTACATTATCGATTATTTGTCTAGAAAAGGATTTGTAGCATCTAATATTTTTCAACAACACTGTTTGTTTCAAGAAAAATTAATTGTATTTATAATGTATGCAGAATATCGATAAGAACCGAGTAACAAAGGCACAAGTAAAATAAAATCGTTGAAATAAATTATTTCGGTAAATTATATGTGTTTTTATATTTTTTAAGTATTTCATTTATTACCTGCTTTTTCAAGAGATTGCAATAAATCCGACATTTGCTTATTACTAATAAAACTGTTTAGATCTTGATCGTTTCGAGGTTTTGATATCTGCAAATCCGACTCTGGCCAAGGGAGAGAAAGAGAGAGAACAATATAGAAAAGAAAAAAGAAACATAAAAACTGAATAAGAGGGGTGAGACGCAACAACATGAGGGGGTAGGGGTGAAAGAGAAAAGGGAGAAGTGTTGGGGAGGAGTCGTAAAGCGGTAAGGGAACGAAAGACGGGTTTGGCCGGACAGAGAGAGAGAGAGACAGAGAGGAAAGAGAACCGGAGTTGTGAAAGAGAGGGAGCAGGGAGGGGGATAAGAGAAAGGAGATGCACGATAAAAGAGAGAAATTGAAGCGAGCAAAGAAAAAGAAGGATAAAAAAGAGAGGGAATAGAAAACGAAGAGAGAAAGAAAATATCACGAAGAGTCGAAACGGTAGTCGTTCGTCGAGACGATCCTGCTAAGCAGGTAGATCGATATTGACACTTCAACCTGTATTTTCTGACCAGTCATATAACGTTAAATGCGCCTTTTTGTTTACGTATTCGTAAATGTAAACGAGATGTAAATTTCTATTCCAACAGATTGACTGAACAAGAGATTTCAACCCCGGGATGCTTTTGATAAACTAAGATACAATAGATGTGTATCATGTAATTTTTAGAAATATATTTGTGCGAAATATAGTGAACTTTTAAGAGTGTACTTAGATTAGATTATATTTTTCACGTCATAGTCTTATTCAAATAAATTTAATTAATTTCTTTAATTTTCATATGCAATAAATTTATTTTATATTTTACATTTATATAAGTATACGTATAAATGTAAAATAATGTATATGTATGTATATAATTTATATTTAAATAAAAGTTTCATAAAATGTATTCATCAAAAATTTGTACGAGTATACATATAAATTGATAACAATATAATTGTTTGCAAAATTAACAGCATAAATGAAAAGCGCTATAAAAACTAACAAATAGATTAAGTAAAGGAATCATCTAATGTAATCCAGAAAGAGCAATTTTCGATACATATTTTGATATTTAATAAAACCCGAATAAGCTTCAGAATATATAAAAATATTTCTCAAGAACACAATCGATTTTTGTGACTATCCGGAGAAGCAATTTTAAATTAAATCATATATGTGAATTTATTTTATGCACATACACACACATGATTCTTTATAATTAGAAACTTTTATATAATTGTTAGTTGTATATACATATTATACATGAGAAAATTGATAAAATATAATTTTGATTACTATTTTTACTTCTATATGTATAACCGTGTGCTCAATGTTTATATCATATAATATCAAAAGATTTATACAATAAATTTTGTTCATATTGTATAATCAAGAAAATTTGAATTTGACAGATATATATTCATAAGAATTATTTTGATATAATTAGACTGTTACGTAGATCATAAAATTGTTTAAAAGATTAAAAAATATCTGCGGAGCATTATTAAGATTGATTCTCTCTTTCTCTTTCTATCTATATATTTCTCTTTCTTTCTATATATTAATATAGAATATTAATATATATTAATATATAGAATATTAATATATAGAATATTAATATATATATTAATATTAATCTCGCAAAAAAATTTAAATTTTATTAGTACCTCATTCTCTATAATAAGAAGCATATAAATTTTTTCTTGTTCGATATTTTATCTTGTATAAAATGAGAAAAATATTTTCTATACCAAGCTATATAATCCTTTTCCTACGATTAGGGTGCCGAAATTTCTAGGCCCCGTTGTGATCGACAGTACAGAAAACGACAGGGGTGAAGGGGAACGAGATGGTAGGGAACGAGTAGAAACACGATGGAACAGTCCATTGTAGGAGCAACAAGGATGGCATACGCTAGTTCGACGCGTGTGACAAGGATGTCATTATTCGCCGGTGGAATATTCCGCTGAACTCTGGAGCGAGATCATGCAGGATCGCTTGGCAAAGAGAGAGAGAGAGAGAGAGAGAGAGAGAGAGAGAGAGAGAGAGAGAGAGAGAGAGTGAGAGAGAGAGGGGGGGGGGAGAGGGAGAGAGAGAGAGAGAAAGAGAAATAGAGAGAGGGATAGGGGAAGGAAAAGGGGAAGGAGGGCAGGAGAAAGAACCCTGAGAGTTAATGTTCCACACGGAACTACTAAACCTAGTGAGAGAGACACGAATCCGCATTTTGTAGAAACGCTTTCTCCTTGCAGAGAATTATACATTGTACGAGAATACAAAAAGTGTTTAAAATAAACATCATAGAGAAACAAAAATTACTGTGTATCTTGATTTCAACGGCATAGAGCGTGATTATTGGTTAATGATAATTTTGATTTAATCTAAGATAATTTTAATTTATATATTATTTTTCGATAGATTCTATATCGATGTTATATGATATAAAACTGATTCGTATATTTATTTTTTATTTGCGAGAATATAAAAACACGATAATTGAACTGACATAAGGATTATATTATCTTTAATCATCAAACTCACCGAAATTGCGCTGATTTCAATCTCTGATCATAGTTGACTAATAGCTGGTTTTATTGATAATTTCAATGACAACTTGATCCACCTCTGGTTCGTCCAATTTTACCTGCTTAAACAGATATTTAAAAGAATATCATAAATTAGATAAAGAATATTATATATTCATACACACACACACACACACACATACACACACACACACACACACACACACAAATGATTGTCAGATGTTTTAAATCGCATAAGTATAAAAAAAAATAAAAAAGACTTAAGAAATAAAGACTTTGTTTTCGTTTTTACATAAGTACATATGATTTTTAATTATTTGATTTTAAACGCAGATTAATTCATTGTAATTAATAATGATGATAGATTGTATTATTTGTATCTCAAATCTGCTAATAATTCGAAATCGAGTTTGAATGAAGTAATACCATTTGTATCATCTGACTTATACACACACTCACATACATAATGTACAGATGAAATAAGATTTAAAATTAAATTGGTAAAGTTAAATTGGTAAGATTTAAAGTGGATTTGGTTGATGTTTCTTTCTTTTTCTATTTACATTTAACTATAGATATATAGATTGATTTAGGTTGAAAAGATTATAATGTTGTGAGAGATGGTATCATTATATCAGTTTCCTACATAAAAAATCTAGATATATACATATTGATATTACATTTCAAGAAAATACTGCAAATCTGAAACACAAATATGAATAGAAAATCCAAGGAAAATTTCTTAATAAATTTATAAGAATTGAAACTAATATGTTAATATTATGCTCGTTTCATTTTTTATTACAATATATTGCTATATACATGTATAAATTATTTACCTGTTTATATTTCATTGGGAAGAGTTAAAACGCGCATAAAGTTGTATTTTGCCAAATCCAGACGATATTAGGATTAATGTAGGTTTCTCTGTAGATCTTTCTCTCTCTAATAAATTACTTTAAATTATGTTTGAAAATTTAGTAGGTGGATGCGCGATCCACTTTGCGGCACGCTCAAACATGGCGGACGCGCATGCGCGCGATCTAATTTTGTAGCGCGCTTAAACATGGCGGACGCGCATGCGCGATTCGCTTCGCGGCATCACTTATATGCGATCGGAATATCGCGAAAAAGTGATTAATTACAGTCCCGATGTCTTAGTTATTGCGTCACCAACAATCGCTTCCAATTTCCGATCAGCACTCGCGTGATACACGATATGTTTCGACAGAGAAATCATGAAAAGTACGGTGAAACGATCGATCCACGAGTCGAAACGAACTCGTTGCAACGCGCACTATGCAGAATAATGACCGCGCATGCGCGTGTCCGATCTGTACGCTATCTATCGTGCACACGTACACACTAAATACGATTTCGATATCGTCAAAAAGTAATTACGTAAATAATATTATAAATAATTAAGTATGGAATTTCTATTATAACGATACAATATTTTACTCGGCACACATGAGAGTCAAATATATTAATTATAATGTTGATAATATTATAATGATTCTTCTGGATTTTTTACGAATAAAATATATGACGTTACTGCAACTTCGAATGAATATGATGCGAAATGGTGACTGCGTAAGCGCATTATTTTTATGTAAAGAATGGTTAGAGTTGCGTTCTAAAATCAACCTGTCAAAGACCAATCGAGAAATCAAGCAAAGGAGTAAAGATTTCTTTGTCCTAACTGGTCAATCAAATGTAATCCAATAAAGAAATCAATCGGAGCAAAGAAATCAGAATATAACTAAAAGATGCTTAATTATGATGCTTAATTACGATCCTTGATGCCTTAATTTATTCCTTTGATCTCCTAATTAGTCTTTGACAGCTAGATTTTGGAACACAACTCTGACCATCCTTTTTTTATAGAAATAATGCGCTTGCGCAGTTATCGTTTCGCATCGTTCCACCTTTATTTAAAATTGCAGTGGAGCATTCCTTGAAAGTTGCTGTGCAAAAGAGAAGTATATTTAAATGTATCATATATATCAAGATATTGAGCCGTTATTATGATGTAGAAATAATGCTCGATAGTAACGAACTTCCTTTCGAGAATATCGAGATTGTATTTAGTGTAAAGATAAAACATAGGCTGCGTTCAGCAGAAAAAGCTGCTTTGCAACTGTTGTCAAATTCGTGAATCTGATTGGTGTATACCCTTAGATTCAGCCAAAATTAAGAGCCTATACCAATCAGGCTCATGAATTTTACAACCGTTGTAAAGCAGCTTTTTCTGCTGAACGCAGCCATAGATAGCGCGCAGGTTGGATACGCGCATGCGCAGTTCTGATTCTGCAGAGAGCGCTGCATTGCAACGCGTTTGTTCGGATTCGCAGTTCGATCGTGTCGTATTTTTCGCGATTCCCTCGTCAAAGTGAACCGCGCGTCGCGAGTGTTGACCGAAAGTCTTCGAAAGCAATTATTGGTGATGCGTTAATTGAGACATCGCGATGATAATTAATTACGATATTTTCCACGATACTCCGATCGCACGCGCAAGAGACGCTGCGCGCTGAGTAAATCGCGCGCATGCGCGTCCGCCATGTTTGAGCGCGCCATAGTTCCGACGAAGTTGCCGTCAGTTTGACCGCTCCGCGTTTCGTTCGTGTGTTTCGCTCGCGAATACGCAAAGTATTTGTCACGAGTGTCGAGTGATCGTCCCGAGTGATTGTTAATCGAACAGTGCGACATAATAATCAATCATTTCTTTTACGATAGTATGATGAAGCGCAAGACATTGGGACGGAATGCGCCGTTCACGGTTACTGCGTCATTTCGTCTGGAGTCAAGACGATATCAATCTGCGTTTCTTCCGTATTTCTCCGTTAATCTGAAATTTGCACGCATATAAACCGAATAAAATGCCGGACGATCAGAATTAGCAATTGTAATTAGTTACCGTAGATTTTAGTGTTCATGAAGAAGTATATTCGAGAACGTGATGCAGTCTGAAAGTGTCGCTGGAATAACGGTACATTTTGGTGAGTGAAGTTGTTACTTATATTTGTATATATGAATAATTGTTTGTTTATTGTCAGTTCCATTCGTAGACATTAATATTAGATTTTTTATAAGATAGTGAAGCCCGAAGTTGGGATTCTCCCGAGAAAAAAAGGATAACATGAATTTATTCGTGTGTCTGTCTTTTTCTAATGTACCAGCGCACCAGCGTGCATGTTTAATGCGTACTTTAATAATTTGAAATTGCATCGTGTGTCAGAAAAAGATAGAAACCCAAGTAAATTCATGCTATCCTTTTCTCTCAGGAGAACATTCCCCACTATTTTATAAGCAGTCTATGTTTTGTAATATGTCTATGCTTCCATTACTTTTCACTTACTTTTTCATTACTTTGCCATATTGATAATCATAGATTGATTATTTTATGCGAATTAAATTATATTTATGCGATTAAATTTATCTTTTTTCAACAGAGTATATTTAGACAAAATTGTGTTTTATAGTCACAAATTTAAATGTAAGTCTATATTTTCGCTTTTAATTAAAATATCATTATTAATTTATATAATTAATTTATATAATTAATTTATATAATTAATTTATTATACGAATAATTAATTTATTACGGGACCGTACGAATCTTTGTATTTAATCATTCGCTTTTACGATGCGATGCACCTTTCGCACAAGGGGCCTTGCAATAGCTCGATGATTTTTGACTTGTCATTAATTTTTCGAGTCGTCCGTATACTATTGGGACTCGCGATAATCGACGACTCTTAGAGACCGGTGAGGGTGTCTCATCCGGTGTCCATTTGTCGGGTATCCCTTCATCATCGTATTGGAGATGCGCCCACTAAAAGTCGCGTAAAAATCACACAGTTTAATGTGTTTTTATTTTCTTTTTTTTTTGTTTTTGATTTACTTGAAACGCGCGCATCCAAGCCTCGAAAGCGCAATTGACAACGAAACCATACATCGTTCTCCGCAAATAACCTTCGCGAATCGCATCCTCAGCCGAGTGAATGATCTCTTCGCGTATGGAGTCGACGATATGGCTGACATGTTCGTCTTCTAGTATCTCTTGCCATTTTGCTCGCGGGATTCGCGAGGGAGGAAGCGAAAATTCTCTGGGGATCCCAGAGACGTGCGAGACATCGTTGTTGTGTCGCGAATTTTTTGGCATTTTTGTATGCGTTTTTAAAAGCTCCTATTTTGATGCTAATAAAGGTAAAAAATTGGCATTATGCTTATTTTTTTTAATGATCGTGCAATATCGAACACGTTAAGGAATCGACTTGTTAAAATATAAGAAAATCTCTTAAATGAAAATCTCTAGATGTGGAATTTATTTTTAAAATATTCTTTGCGTCCTCTAGCGAGTTATTTCTGCAATTTTATTACGCAGAAATTTAATTATTCAAAGAGTATTGAACAAAATTACAAAATTAATTAGATTAGACAGAAGTAATTCGCATCTGGATTTGGGTTTTCAACAAATATGTCAATATGCAGATATGTGTTGTTGCTTTTATTTATTATAGAATTAATAAAAAATATTACGTGCAAATGAAGAAAAATTATGAAACTATAAACGAAAAGTCACAAACACGATGATGTTGCTCGTAACATTCAACATATATTTATTGTCTCAATATATTGTGTGTATTGAAATTTACAATAGTATAAATGATAAAAGATAAATTTAGCGCGCGTTATAGAAATAAGCATCTAAGAATGAATCGTCAACTCTATTTGTCAGCGATAGTTACTTTTGAGTGACAAATTTATAATTTAAGATCTAGCTATATAGACTATTTCTTATTTTCAGAACTATGAATCTTACAAAAATAATGGTAATTAGAAGCGCTAATAATTTGTTCTTAAAACGACGCTTTTAAGAGTGCAGTTTATAGAGTGTAATTTAACACAATATATTTTTTAGCTTGAAAAAATAAGACACTCATTTAAATTACTATTCGTTGACATTAATCTTTAATCGATACTGCCAATTTACTTCACGCTATGTTAAGCCCAAATATGAATTCATTTTTGCATTATATATATATATTTTTGTAATAACAATATTTTAAATTAAAAAGCGATGACCAAATCTAATGTTTAAAGTTTGGATTATTCATTTGAATTCAATTATATAATAAAATGATGAATTACAATATAGCATTTTATGTTTAAATTATATTTAATTTTTATAAAATTAACTCTTTAAAATTTTTTTTGTTCATTTTTTGTTTCCATATTATCTTGTTTCTTAATACGTACAAAGTATACTTTACAATCCTAAGTATACTTTTTAGAAATTCCATAAATTCATTTTGTTAAGGAACAATTGATTTATTGATATGCTTAAAACTTAAATTTTTGTGATTAATGAATTAAATGATCGTTTCCTCTCTACTTAGTTCAGCAGTGAATCAATTGATAGAATAATTAATGGAATTGCGGTGAACGACGTATACATATAATACATGTGCTACATTGTCCTCTTATTATTTATACTATTCTATGATCTTTTTTGCCTTGTGTAAACTTTTTTCATCAATAATAATATGGATAGCGGATTCATAATGATATGCTGCTAGGCAATCTAGGCGAATGCTCAGGATCAAAGTTGAACGCCAAAAATATTAGTGAACATCATACACCGACAATAAATGAGAAATAAATATATTAATAAAAATATTCGTATATCATAATTTTCTATATAACTTTGTGCATTGTATATTAAAAGAAAAAAAATATAAATTTCTACAAACAATAAATTTGTATATATTTTTATATTTTTTATTTTCAAATAATAAATAAAATATAAACTGTTTAATAAAATTCTTTTTGTTCAAAATAAATGTTTAATAAAATATAAAACTTTGAAATTTCTTTCTAAAATACGTTCATTGATATCCGATGATAATAATGAGATAATAAATACATAATTTTTTTGAATTGTAAAGAAGTTTTTCTATACTATTAAATAACAAACATCACAAATACATTGTTTGTAGCCATAATTTTATAAAAAATGCATCAATATAACATAATAATTAATGAGTTCATATATCAATTAACACAATGAGATTTACAGGAAAAAAAAAATGATGCATAAATGTTTTGTATATATAAGAACTGTTTGTTCTTATATTGTCTATAAGAATTTACTAATAAAAATGTAGAAAATAAAATATAACGTATATACGAATACTTTTTGTACTTACGTATTAAAGTTCATTAAAAATTATAATCGAACATTTCGTTTCATAAAATAATAGTTTATAATTATTTAGATAATTGATTAACTGCATACAAGATTAATTGAAAATATCTGTTTGAAAATATCTGTTTTTCTTTTTAGGTATTTATATCAGAAAGCTAAAGACGCTTAAGATTGCATTTAAATATACTTTATAAATAATACTTTTTAATGATATATCTTTCTCTTTATTTTTATTTTTAATAGACTTGTGATTACGTATGTTAAAAAGAATTGTTCAATTGACAAAGTATACCTATTAATATAGATTCGCGCATGTATTTATGTAGATCCTGCTACAACTCCCTATGATATTTTTCGCGAATCTTTCATATTCGAAGCTTTAATTCTTTTGCATGTGATTAATTTTAATTGAACGAAACGCTTAGACGACTTCACTACGTTTGAAGGTATTATATTTACTTCTCATTACTGATACGGAGAGATTCGTGCTACAAAATTATTTCTCGCATCTCACTTGATTATCACATTCTCAGATTGATGTTTTGAGGTCAGATTGATAATTTTTTGATTCTTGGAATTTTTTGATCTTCAAGTGCTTCGAGAATATTTCTAATTGTTTAGATTCTGCTCGAATTCCAGACTCTTTAATTTCTTGGATTTTTAGTTTGACGTACCCTCAAATATTAGAGTTTGAATTTTTGATTCTGCAAATATTATGATTTATCAAACTTTTGCAATCAAAAATTTCTTAGGCGTTTTATCTTCCACTTAATCAATGTTGAATTTTCGTCCTGTCAAACAAATGTTTCGTTCATTATAGGATTTCTTAATCTCCATGCTCTTAAATTCTTGATTTTCTTGCTAAGATTCTTGCTAAGTTCTTGAATTTTTGAACTTAGAAATGATTTGTTTCTTGCATCTGTAAATGTTAGGAGAGATCTTTAATTTACTGAATTCTTGTTATATTTTTGTAACTTGCTTCTTGCAAAATGTTCTCATTGTTGGACTTTTGAATCCTTAAATCGTTGAATCCTAAAATTTATAGATTCTTGAATGTCGGAAAAATTGAATGCAAGCTTCTTGGTTTTTAGGTTTTAAAAGAGAAATAAAGAATTTTTTGAATATTCAAAAATCTCCCTAAAAATTCATTATTATTCGTTTCAAGAGAAAATTCTTTGATTTCCGCATGCTAGGAGCTATAGATTATTGGATTGTTAGAAATTTGGATTTTTATTTCCGATTTACATCTTGGATTCCTAGATTTCTGAACTCTATTCTAGATTCGTATTTTCTTGGATTCTTGGAATTTTCGAATCCTTAGATCTCGGATCTGCATCCTTAGATCTCCAAGGACTCTCCTTCTGCCTTCTAAGACTCGACACAACCCTTTTCTCGTGGTACATACACACGGTGGATTTTTTGTTTTCTAACTGGAAGACCAACATCCGTCGCGAAGACCCTTAAGCGCTAACGCCGATTATAACACCTCCGCTTCCAGGAAGGCCGGTTTCTCCCATCAAGGCCAAATCAATTTCCTTCGCGGCCATTCGCCCTTCCGAGATCGCCCATACCACGAGAGATTGCCCACGTCTGCAATCTATTTTTAAAAAATATTTAATAGCAATATATTAAAAAAATTCAGAAGATTTTACAACTATTACTATTAATTTTATCTTATTATCTTAATTCATAATGATTTTTGCAATTAGAAATGTACAACAGAATGTTGTATCATGAGCCAAATGTTTAAGAAAGCATTACATACAAAATTCAAAGATTATTTATAATTTTACAAGATAATGTTTTTTTAATTATTGATGCAAAAATTCAATTATCTTTTTAATAAAATTAAAAATAATTTTAATAAAATTAAAAAGATTTTAAAAAAATAAAATTTTTTTGTATGTAATGTTCATTCTCCTTTCCATTGCGTAATTTATAATTTTACAAAATTATATATTTAGCACATATACGAATATTATATAGATATAAATTATACTAACCGCCTGCCGCATATATTCCGGGTAAACTAGTACGATATTTCCCAGCCGGAGTCTTATAATTTCCCCTCTCATCCAACTCGACGTTCATTTCTGTGGCGATATATTTCTCGGGGCCGAGGAAGCCCATGGCGAGTAGTACCAAATCGCATTTGTACACCTTTTCTGAATTCGGCACCTCGTCCATCTTCCATCGGCCACTCTCGTCCTTTCGCCACTCGACGGATACTGCCCTGATGCCGCATACGTGGCCTTTTCCGTCATCTAGAAATTCCTTGCTTAGCGTGCTATATCTACGCGGATCTCGACCGAATTTTACGGATACTTCCTCGTGGCCATAATCAACCTTAAATACACGTGGGAATTGGGGCCACGGGTTATCTTTGCCCCTTTGACCTGGTGGTTCGGGCAGAATCTCGAAGGTCGTGATCGTCTTGGCGCCCTGACGCAGCGAGGTTGCTATGCAATCGCATCCGGTGTCGCCACCACCTATGATGACGACATCCTTATCCTTGGCCATTAGCCGCATGTCAAGTGGTGTCGCGTTACCCATCTGTTTCTTCTGCCAATGTTCCAAGAAACTCACGGCAAAATGAATTCCCTCTAGCTGCCGACCGGGAATAGGCAAATCTCGTGGCCACGTCGCTCCTGTAGTTAACAATACTGCATCATATTGCTCTTGAAGTTGCTGCAAAACATAAAATCATTATTTAAAGTTTACTTTTTGAGTGTATAAATACACATAATAATATATATATATATATATATATATATATATATATATATATATAATATATATAATATATATAATATTATATAATATTTATATAATACACATAATATTGTCAAAAAATGTCATATGCGTTTGCTCACATGCATTGTAATATCTTTGCCGACATTAACATTTGTCCTGAAAGTAATTCCCTCTGCGGCTAGGAGAGAGACTCTTCTTTGAACGACCTCTTTGGAAAGCTTCATTGTCGGTATGCCATATTGTAACAGCCCACCAATTCTATCGTTTCTCTCGAATACGGTCACTGTGTGACCCGCTTTGTTTAGTTGATGAGCGGCTGCTAATCCTGCGGGACCGGATCCCACCACTGCAACTTTTCGTCCGGTTCTTCTGGTCGGCGGATGAGGAACAATCCAACCTTGTTCGAACGCGTGATCGATTATCGCACACTCGATATTCTTGATTGTCACAGGTGGTTCAGAGATCCCTAAGACGCATGCGCCCTCGCAAGGTGCAGGACAAACTCTTCCGGTAAACTCTAAATTATTTCATCAAAGAATTAAATATAGTTATCTATATAATGGATTAATTAAAATAACAAGTAAAAATAGAATACAAAGAGGAAATAATTTAAAAAATATATAAATAAAAAAATCCTATTAAATAATAAATTTAATAAAAAATTGATATATATTATATATATGATGAAGAAGATATCAATTTTCTTATCTATGTAAAGAATAGACTTAAAGTTTCCTGTAGATTGTTAAAAATAGAATCTATTTTTACAAAATTGACAAGATTTAACAAGAAAATTCTTGTAAATCTTCTCACCAGGAAAATTATTAGTCTGCAACAATTGATTGAGAGCCTCCTTCCAGTTCTGATGGAATACGAGATCGTTCCACTTCGGAATAATATTGCCCAAGGGGCAGCCATGACTGCTTTGGCAGAACGGAACGCCACATTCCATGCATCTCGCCGCTTGCACTCGCAGAGTCTTCCTGACACCCTGGAAGTTGTAGATCTCGTTCCAATCCTCTATACGCTTCTCGGCCGGTCTATACATGACCTTTTGCCTCGAATACTTCATAAAGCCTTTGATCTTATCCAGCTTGCGCTGCGCCATCTCCGCGTCTTCTATCGCATCCTCTATATCTTTAATCTTATGATTTGTCAATTGGGCATCACCATTAATCACATTCGTTTGTTGCTTGTCCTCCTCTAGTTGTTTGAGAGCTCGTTGATACTCATACGGGAAAACTTTGACGAATCTTGTGGTCGGTTCCGGCCATGTAGCAAGCAAATCCTGCGCGATCAATGAGCCGGTTTTCTCGATGAATTCTTCCAGTAATTGCTTCACATAAGCGATTTCTTCAGACTTGTTGAGCGGCAATAACTCTACCATTTCAGGGTTGCATTTGCTCTTGAAAGAACCATCCACGTCCAAGACGTACGCGATTCCGCCGGACATTCCGGCGGCGAAATTCCTACCGGTAAGACCCAAAATCAGGGCGCAACCACCGGTCATGTATTCGCAACCATGATCGCCCACACCCTCTACTACGACGATTGCCCCGCTGTTGCGTACACTGAATCTCTCGGCAGCGATACCACGGAAGTAAGCCCTTCCAGAAGTGGCACCGTAAAGACAAACATTCCCGACAATCACATTCCCTTCTGAATTGAATTCGGAGTCCTTTGGTGGATATATGACAATTTCACCTCCGCAGAGACCCTGCGAATAAATATAATACAATGAATATATACTATATGAATAGATAAAATTATATGTGCAGGTTTTTATAAACTTAAAAATTGAAGCAACTCGCATGCGATATTTACCTTGCCGACGTAATCATTGGCATCGCCTTCAAGAGTGACGTGTATACCCTTGGCCATGAAAGCACAGAAACTCTGACCCGCAGAGCCTTGCATTCTGATGTTGATACTATTCTCGGGTAGTCCAGCTTCTCCGAATCGTCTGTAAAATTGCAAAAAAAAAAGTAAAATCATAAAATGATTTGGTCAATGATAAAAATGCTAAATCAATTTTGTAAAGAAAAATTAAGAAACTTACTTGGCTATGTAATAACTCAATGTCGATCCAAATGCTCTGCACTCGTTGTTAATGTTCATCTCAATGTCGATTCGAGCCTGTTCTCCATTCAATACAGGTTCAGTCAGCTCGATTAGTTTATTATCGAGTCTATTCTCCAATTGAAAGTCTTGTTTCAAAGTGCCGCCCTTAATATTTACGCCGGGTCTCAAATCCAACGCATTTCGCAGAACATTGCTAAGATTCAGAGTTTTAGCTTTTTCAACGGTAATGTCATCGCGTACTTTAAGGAGATCCGTGCGTCCAATCAGATCTTGGAACTTGCGAATGCCCAAATTGGCCATGTGTGAACGTACCTGTAATAATATTAAAAATTAATGAGATTAAAAGAAATCACAATACGTTGAAATAATATTTATTTATATTTATGAATTAAAGTTTATACATACTTTTGATATTTATTGTTACAATTTTACAATACAAGAAACTTATTTAATTAACATCTTAATATAATTTAATTTAATTATAATTTTAGAAACGTATAAAGATTAAAAAATGCAAATAAAAACGTATGAATATAATATCAGATAAGATAAAAATGATATAAATGATAAGATAAAAAATAAAATTATCATACCTCTTCAGCGAGCGCGAAGAAGAAATTGATGACATGTTCTGGTTTGCCCTCGAATTTTTTCCTTAGTACTGGATCTTGCGTAGCGATTCCCACTGGACAGGTGTTCAAGTGGCACTTTCTCATCATCGTGCAGCCCATAGCGATCAACGGGGCAGTGCTGAAGCCAAACTCGTCCGCGCCAAGCAGCGCAGCCACCACAATGTCAAAACCGGTACGCAGCTGACCGTCCGCCTGAACGATTATGCGCGATCTCAAATTGTTCAGGGTGAGTACCTGATGCGTCTCGGCGATACCTAACTCCCAGGGTAATCCGGCGTACTTGATGCCGGTCCAGCTGCTGGCGCCAGTGCCACCGTCGTGACCGGAAATCACTACATGCTCAGCTTTGCCTTTGGCGACGCCAGCAGCGACCACGCCAACCCCGACTTCGGACACGAGCTTGACGGATATGCGAGCGTTCGGATTGGCGCATTTGAGGTCGTAGATCAGCTCAGCCAGGTCCTCGATTGAATAGATGTCGTGATGCGGTGGCGGTGATATCAAACCTACTCCGGGTACCGAATGTCTGGTGGCGGCGATCTCCGCAGTGACTTTGTAACCAGGCAGCTCGCCGCCTTCGCCAGGCTTCGCACCCTGCGCCATCTTGATCTGTAGATCGTCCGCATTTGCTAAATAGCTAGCAGTTACGCCGAAGCGGCCACTCGCTACCTGCTTGATGGATGAGCGCTTGCTAAACTCCGGATCTTGGTTGAGATATCTATTGAATATTGGTTAGTGGCAATTAGTCGGAGATTTTTGTGTCACTAGTGATAATAATCAGTAGTAAGAATTTTAAATTTTTAATTAATTAGATCTCTTTATCCTTTTTCTATCTTCTTTTTATTACCTGTCTGCATTTTCACCGCCCTCGCCGGTGTTCGATTTGCCGCCGATACGATTCATGGCGATTGCCAAAGTTGCATGAGCTTCCATGGAGATGCTGCCGAAACTCATCGCACCGGTCGCAAAGCGCTTCACGATTTCCGACGCAGATTCCACATCCGTAATGGGAATCGGATCGCGCGATTTTTTCAATTCGAGCTGGCCGCGTAGAGTGCAAGCTTTTACCACGTCCATCGTGGTTTTGCGATAATTTTCATAAGCCGAGTTACTTTTAGAAACGACATAATCCTGTGGAAAAAGATGACCAAAAAATATCCTTTATATAGTTTCTAGTAAAAATATAATACTATAAGAAAATTTAAAAATTGTGGAATAAGATATTATTATAATTGTTAAATATTTATATAATAATTATTTTAACGTGTTAAATATTTATATTAATAAAAAATTTTACAGATATTCACAGCGTAAATAACTTTTACTTTTTCAATATTGAAAAAGTAAATGGGTTTCATAAAAGTCTGTTCTTATTTTAGTCTTGTATGTGCTTTTTTTTTAATAGTGATCGTTTAACTATTTTCTTTTTTATGATAAATGTAAGTTGTCGATGTTTTAGCAAGATATTAAATAGGTTTTCAAAGTTTGTTACCTGTAAACTAGCAATGCTGACGGGATCATTGATATGTTTTTCACCACCAGATCGCCAATGATAAATTCCAGGATTACGAATGACTAACAGATCCATGGGTTTCTCCCAGTACGTTATTTGATGTCTTTCGAACGCCTCCTTGCCTAGAATCTCAAATGTCACTCCACCGATACGAGATTGAGTGCCCTAAAAAATTTGAGCTCGTATATAATTAACATTAAAATATTACTTATTACTATTTATTACATAATGACATAAATAATATTATCGGCCGAGGTGCATCATCAAGAAACTTGAATCATTAAATAATCATTAATTGGATCCAATTACTAATCATTTGCATCCCCAAAGATATGAAAAAATATCTTTTTTAAATCTGAATTAATTTATCTAAATTTATATTTTAAAAATTCGGCATATATCTTACATTTATTTAACGTTATTTTATATTTATTTAAAGTTATTTTATAATAAAACAATGATATATAAAAATAAAGAATGATAAATATAGAAATTTCTCTATAATTTTACTCTAAAATACGGTGTACCTTGAAGCATTTATCGATAACCTCGTCAGCTAATCCAACTGCCTCGAATATCTGCGCTCCTTTATAAGATTGCAAAGTAGAGGTTCCCATCTTAGCCATCACTTTTGCAATTCCTCGTTCCATAGCCTCCGCATAATTCTGCGATTTTTAAACGATTATTTTTTTCATATACAAATAAAAGAAGAAAATTAACGTTTACGGCATTTTGACACAAATATTCTCATTTTATTAAGCTTTACTTTATAAATGACATCGTCGGTGAAGGTCTCATCGAAAACATGATCCGCCCTCAGATTTTTCGCCATTTCGAATACCAAGTAAGGACATATGGCGTCCGCTCCATATCCAAGTAGCACGCAAATATGATGAACTTCTCGAGCCTCCGCAGTTTCCAAAATAAGACCGACTTTCATTCGTTGTCTTTCTTCGATCAAATGATGATGAACGCCACCCAGAGCCAGCAGACTGCTAACCGGAACTCTAAAGTTAACAAAAAATAATGAAAATTATACATTTTTCTCTCTTTTAAAATCATATATATTTTTTATTAATAAAATTTTTTTCAATATTTAATTTCAGATCCTACCTTGAAGGACCACCTCGTCGATCGGATAACACAAGGAGCTGATAACCATCTCTGGCAGCCGCATTAGCTTCATTATTAACACGATTCAGCGTCTTCAATAATCCGTTGGGTCCGTCTTCAACAGGGTAAGTGATATCGATTACTTTTGTTCGCCAGCCGCGATGCGTCGTGCGTTTAAGAATCTCGAGATCGCTCAGGGACAATATTGGTTGAGGCAGAAACAAGCGATGCACTTGCACCTCATTCGGTTCCAGAATATTGCTCTCAGGCCCGATGGGACAGAGCATTGACATCACTATTTTTTCACGAAATGGATCGATTGGCGGATTCGTCACCTGATTATGAAAATCATAATTGTGTGAATCAAGCATAATACACACGCATGTGTTAGATATATATTTGATCGTATTTAATTAAATATTTTAAAATTTTCTTTTAATTAGTATACACATGTTAATCGAAATGTACATCGAGTTATGAATAATCAAATTTTTATTACGCACCTGTGCAAATAATTGCTTGAAATATTCGTATAATAATGGTTGGAATTCCGACAAACATGCCAGGGGAGCATCATTGCCCATAGATCCTAACGCTTCCTTTCTGAAATTTGAATATTTATCGAGCAATTAAAATAGCATCATTTTCGTATTGAAAAGCGCGATAATATAATCAAAAAAATCAAAAGAATTTATGCCTACTTGGTTTGCACCATGGGTAAAAGTAGAAGGTTGATGGTCTCCAGAGTGTAACCGTAAAGAGAAAGTCGCTTATCGCCACTCCAGACCTTATTTACTGCCGAGACCTCGTTTATACCATTAAGGGCATTTTTCGCAATAGTCATCTCGGATAGATCATTTCCAATTATGTCTCCCGCATCGACATTATTAGCATCCGCGGCACGCAATTCTTCCATAGTGATCTACGTTAACAAACACGACATCGCTAACTATTAGTCAAAGTTAAGAATATTTTTTTCGCAGGGATTCAAGAATAATTGATACTGTAAATAAAAAAAAGAAATTTCTTTTGAGTTCTACGACAAAAAAATTTTCAAACACACACAAAACATTTCATTAGTAGTTCATTAAATAATTAGTAAATTAGTTGACAAGACGAAAAGGAAAGGACAAGACATTAGTCGACATATATGATAGACTGACTGATATTTTCATGCAGAAAAGAATCGTCCAAGATTTTCCTGTATCAAATTGTATTATTTATTTATAATTTTTTTTACTATATCGCTACTTACCTACTATACCAATTTATTATATTCTTCGATTATACTACTACATCTACGTACATACTACATTGAAATAAAAAGAACACATTCAAAGTTGTATGAACGACTCACCCTCTGCATATGACGGTAACAGCACGTGCAGCGATGCAAGAAAAAAGTTAATTTTGTATTAGAACACTTTTTTCTTGACAAGAATAATCTTGATAAAAATTGTAACGTGAACTAAATTGTTATTAAAAATTTTAATTGTTAAGATCAATTGCCGAGTTATATATTTTCTTTATTTTTTTCTTAAGGATTTTTAGGATGTATTAATTAGGAGAGTTAGTCAATTGATTAATTTAAAAAAGAACAAAAAAATTCATTAGATTGTTTTTCGCGCTGGCAAATATAATTATAGGATCATGCAGACGCATCAGTTGTACACTTATATACAAAAATATAATTTATATATACAGAATGTGTCCACGTCACACACAAGAAACAGTATAATAAAAAAAAATTTCTGCAATGTTCTTTTTTTAAAACGATAATCTTCTTTTTTTAAAACGATAATCTTCTTTTTTTAAAATGATAATCTTCTTTTTAAATACCGAGAACTCAAAGCTTTTACCGTTTTCAAAATAGAAAAATTATAATTATTATTTATAATCACGATATAATGCAATATGATCACGAATAATTGATTACGGTTGACGAAAAGTGCGCGTTTAGCTACCTGTTCCTTGAGCCATTTGGAATGAGGTCTGCTTCGAGCGATTTGCAGCTTTAGCTCAACATCCTGTATGATCCTCTTCTCTTCGGTATCAACGAGAAGCATTCGGCCAGGCTTCAAGCGACTCTGCAAATAAAAGAGTACACCGATAATCGCCATAGAACGGATTTGACACGTCGATGATCGACATTCATATGACAGCACTGGATGACGGTCCTACAGCTCTATACAAACCTAGTCCCTAGATGACAAATTATACATTATACATGATACATGATCAAAAAATAAATAAAATACGATATATGTGATTAGCTCTATTATACATACGTATAATATTAACAGTACAGCGAAGGTATTGCGGATCAAACGATGATGACAGTCTGCCTTTACTGATTCTTTAGATATCGATATTCCTTTAATTCTTAAATGTGAAATTTCTACGTTTAAATAAAAAGGGAAAAAATTTTAAATCGTGGATGAAGTCGACGATGATCAACCAGTAGCTAGCATTAGTTGATCATCATCACTATCATCACATAAAGGCAGAATGCCAGTACATTACATTGTTTCGGCAATATTTGAGATCTAGCGAATCCGCGCAAAATCGTCCGATGACATAAAATATTTTGTACTTGTTCATGAGTGTGGCAGAACTTTATTTATCAGGCTGTGATTACGATCAGTTACTTCAATGTAATAATATATTTAAGAGAAATATCTTGTTATTCTTAATACGAGAGAAGATGGAAATGATATGCTTGTTGCTTCCTACAGAAATTCTAAGATATAATGAATAACGTATATTTGTTAGACATAGATGGAAGATAAGATGATTTAATAAATCGCATGATGATACGCTTGCATCCCAGAACGAAGACGCCATAGATTCAAGACCAACCTAGCCAAGGACGTAACATACATAACCAAAGAGACGTACATGATCAACGATCTCTGTATAACCAAAGACCTCTGGAACTCAAAATTTGCGTAAGCATGCAGCCTAACAAGCCATAAATATCTGCAAAATCAGTATTCCGTGAAATCAACAAGCTATGTACCACCGATCTCGTGTCCCATAAATTTTATTACCGAGAATTTTCCAATAAAGAAAGCTCTACCGTATCTCGCCTCCTCTGTTATTTCTCTAATGAGAAATCAGCGGGAGGCCAAAGCGGATTGTTTCGTGACACAATAATAATCGGTCGATAAGGCGAAATGCGAACTGTCGAAGAATGATGGCAAAAAAAACGTGTTATCGAAGCTAGAAATGTTGGCTTGAGAGCTTGGCTGACGCGAGAATAAAAGTCAAAAAAAAGTGTGATCATCACTCTCGTCGATCAATGTGCTATCGCAGCATCATCGTCGAGAGTTTCATCTCGTGCAACAAAATTCTCAAGCATTAATAAAAAATACAAAATGGCTCGTCGCGCGGTTAAAAACGCGCAAGCATTGTTTTTGTACACGAGCAGCAGATTCTTTCATCCTCGTTTCCTTGGGGGATCCTTGAAGGCTACAGAGAGAGAGGTCCGACTTCCCCCGGTTAGGCCGCCTCCCTGATTGCTCTTCTAGCGGCCGAGATTGTTCTATATTGGGGAGAAATGTAGAAAAAAAGGCGCGGAGAGATGAGAGAATAGGGGCGGGGGAAAAAAAGATTGAGCATATGAGGGGGATGACTGAGACTCGTCGGTATATAAATCATTAAACACTGCGAGTCAGCTGTCTCCGCCTCAGACAGAGAGAGAGGCACTCTCCTCCCCCTCTCGGTGAGACCGGCCGATGTGCTTGGGATGCGCTTATTTTCCTTCGTTTACCTTCAGGACTACATTGCTGGACGGAGTATCATAGACGCCCACTTCGGACGCCATCACCATCATGTTATCCTTAGTGACGTAGAAGCGCGACGGGCGCAGGCCGTTTCTGCCAAACAAAAATTCAAAAAGGTCTTTTGTATTTCACACCACCTCTGTGCCATGCGCTAGGTATCAGCTGAGTGAACTACACATTGTTGTTCGTTCGTTCGCTTGCCTGCCTTCCTGCTGGCTTACTCGCGTATACTTTCTCTTTCGCTCTTTATATCATCTCTGTTTTTTTTTTCTTTCTCTCTCTCTCTTTCAGTCTCTTGACCTCTCTAGGTCCTATTTACCTGAGTTAACAGCACGTTGGGAGACAACGATGGACACTTAGCAAATCGTAAACAGATCGATTCTCTCGCTGTACAGAGACGGGGCAAGAAGGAAGTCGCGCATAAATTAGTTTAATCTCGTTCTATTTGCTTTATCTCTATAGGTTTATTTTTATTACGTTTAAATGATCAGTTCAATGATTAAGAGATATCTATATTACAAGATAAGCTAAAGTGATTATTTAATTACGAAGACGTCACTAAACTTTGAGTTCTATATGTAATTAACTTAAGAAAATAAACTTTTCAATATCATTCTTCTAAATTTTTCAAAAAAATCTGCGTCTTAAATCTTAAATATCCTAGGAATGATAATTGGATAGAAATACCTCGATAATATATTCGATTAAAGCTACGTTTTATTAAAGCTCTTAATTCTCACTGATTTTATTGATCTTTTTTTTCAATCACATATTGTGAAATTAAAATAATTTCTCGATTAAATAAAGAAATATTTCAAAATAACGAAGACATCACATTTTAATAAAAATATAGTTAGGAAGAAACATTTGTTTCTCTGAAAGAATATTTTTATCGCGTTACTCATGTTTTATTTAATGTAGTTGTATACAATAAAAAAAATTTGATTTATGTAAGAAATATATTTCTATCTTAAATGCTCGATTGCGCGGCTTCCCTCTGCCTTGGAAATCCATGTTTACCTGGAGTATAACCGAGTCTCTACACACGTGTGTGCACCGTTCTCATATATATTTCGTGAGCACCGTTAATCCTGCTGAATGCATCTTGTAAAGTGTAGGCAATATAGGCCCACGTAGCCTAGCATTCTTTCTTCGCGGCTCCCCTAACAAACGACACCGTAGAGTCCCTTCGTTCGGCTTATTTCTGTCTTTCAATAAGGTCCTCTCAACACTTTGAATGCCGTTTCAATTCAATTTTTTACGTATCTCTGTATTTATTTTCAGCGAATACTCCAAGTATACTCGAGCGAGAATACTTTGAGAGTTTTCTGATAATAAATATAATAAAGAGAAGTACATTTATAAAATTTATTAAATTTAATTTATCAAATTTATCCTCAAAAAAGAAAAGAAAAAGAAAGAATATACATTTATATATATTATTATATATTACTGCAAAGATTTAATATTTTAAGATCATGTGACTTTTAATTAATTCATAACATAATTAATGTTTATTTTTAATCATCAATAGGGATTTCACTTTTATGATTAAAGTTTTTTTTGCAAATTAAATAATGATAGATATTCCAGATATTCTTTATACTTTCCTATTAAATATTTAAAAACATTTGTGACGATAAATGTATATATATAATTTCTTTTGCGATGTTGCTTGTAATATTATTTCGTTTTTGCATAAAATTATTTAAATGCAAAGAACTTACCTGTGCAGCTTGTAGCAAATTTATGCGAATTCTTTTTAATCAGGATTTTTATGCAGCAGCGAATTAACATACATTCACATCTTTTATACTTATAGGAACTTATAAATATCAGAATATCTTTAATAACGAATTAGTTCTTATATATTATATCATTTTAATTTTAATAATACTATATTAATAAAAAAATAAAATATGGCATTATTACATCATCCCGGATGGATTCAAAGTGTTAAAGGCCAATAGAATCAAAGATCCAAGAATCTGCGCAATCGCGGATCATTTTTCTGATCCGAAAAATCGCAAGATCTACATGGATATAGCAAAGGAAATTACCAGACAGCACGAACGAGAGGGAAATGGAGCCTACGTAGAAACGAGTGTAATAAACGAGACGTAATGAGAGATGGCAAATTTCTACCTGTCCAAGATAGCACCGACGTAACGGCCGTCGGTGAAGGTTAACAGGGCCGGGCCGTCCCAAGGTTCCATAACGCACGCTGCCCAGTGATAGAAGTCGCGCTTCTCGGTGGCCATTGTCAGATCATTCTGCCAGGCTTCTGGTACCATCGTCATGACAGCCTGAATTAAAAAACGATTTTAGTGTTTATTCGTAGACCGAGAAGCTCTTCTAAGAAACTGAGAAACTTAAGGGAATTGTAACACGCGAGATTCAAGATAATCGAAGAGAGAATTAAAATGGACATTTAATCATGAGTAAATTTACATTAGAGATCCCTAATGTTCTTGAATCTTTAATAACAATTTTTTTTTAATCTTAAAACATCAAGAAAGTATTGAACCAAAGAAAAAAATTATAGAATATATGGAACCAAAGAAAAAATTGTAGAATTAAAAAAGGATTTGAAAAAATATATGAAATGAAAGGTCATCAAGAATTTTCAGATATCGGAGAAAAATCGATGGAATGTTTAAATATGCATAAAATCAATAATTCATGCAAGTAATTTTTGAAATTAACGATTCATAAAGAATCTAAATTAGTAAAATCAAATTTCTGATATATAAAAGAAGAGTTTGAGATTTAGAATAAAAAAATCCGAAAAATATCCTTCTATTTTATTTTATCTATTGTAATATTTTATGTATCTACATGGGCAACGTTTTTTTCGGCATATTTTTAAAATTAATTTACCTCAGGCAAGGAACGTTGTCCTGCCATCACCAAAAATTCCAGCACACAGTCCGCTGATCCAGAATCAGAGAGATTCGGCTCAACGACTGGATAGAGCGACTTCAGCTGATCGCCATATATCTGGCTGCTCATCACGCCTTCTCGCGCCTTCATAAAGTTTACATTGCCGCGCAAAGTATTAATTTCGCCGTTATGAGCCAACAATCTATGAAGAAATATGAAAAAATATTCTTATATTATATCAATGCTCGTTCGTTAGCTGTTTCAAAACATTCTGCAAAACTATAATTACTATCTAGAATTTTATTTGTCGTAATAATGAGATAACGAATCGCGATAACCGAAGTAGATATCCGCAAAATTTGAAAAATTAAAATTATCACAAATCAAAGCTCTCCCGTCTAGTATCAGAAAAACCTATGTATCAGAAGAAATTTGAATATTTTGATTTGTATTATTAATCCTTATACAAGTAAAGATATGAAAAAAATATAAAATAAAAATTTTTATATAGCTTTGTTTTTGAGAAAATTGACTTAAAAATTTGAAAAATTAATAATTCCGTTTTTTTAAGTGAATCATTTTATATGTACGTATGTGTGTCTTTGAATTAATTATTTCACTAATTATGGCAATTTCTATATAATTATGGAGACGGAGAAATCACACATCAAAAAATTCATCTAAGAAATTCATGACATTCATATCATTTACAATGCCAAGTTTAAATATATAAATATTATCTCGCTACCAGTAAAGATGACTAATTTTTCGTAAATGAACAATAATAATTTATTATCTTATCCACGTTTTTTTATCGGACGGTTACATAAGCTTACCGTAGAGGATGCGCTCTTTCCCAGCTCGGAAATGTATTCGTGGAGAATCGTGTATGCACCAATGCCAGATAAGTCTCGAACTTTGGAGACTGATATGAAGAGAAATTTATAACATTACATTAGTTATGATATTACGTACAATTTTTACATAACACTTTCAGACAAGAATGATGCTCTCCTGGGAAAGATTTCGATAACTTTGGCGCTACGATATGAGCTTGTTTGAAAATATTTTGAAAGCTAAGATCGATAGTAAACATAATAAATTATTGTTTCTTTTCGGCAAAGATTTCTATTTAAATTAATTAATTTAAAGTAATTAAATTTAGATTTATCAAAATAATTAAATTATTGAATTTCCCGCAATTTATTTTCGATTTTGTAAATTTAAACGATTTTGTTTTTTTTTTAAATGAAAAAACATATTTTCTATATGAATCATAATGCTCGTAATTTAAAAATAAAAAGCTGTGAAATTTGTTGTTTTGTGTTTCGTTGCAAAGAACTAAAAAATCTCGAATCTCCAAACTTATCGGAATCGTGTCTTCTCACGAAAAAAAAGGACATAGAAATAACACAAGCTCACCTTCAAGTCCGTGAAATACGACCATAACTGATCAGCGGTCAACTGTCCTTTGTAGACGACCGTTTTCAGCGACAATGAACAAATGTAGTATCGCAATCCCGGTTGTCGTATTGTATGCGACGATCTCTTCCTCAGCACGAATATCTGAGGAACGATCAAAATATAAGAATGTGGTAAATAGAGGTTGATTAAATAAGTATATGTTTTAACCTTGAAAAAGGCGACTGTTTTGCGACGAATTCGATTTCTATTCTTATAAATTGGCAAAGTCATTTAATGTCACAAATTGTTTGAGCTACGATGCGTGATATATAATGTATGTACTTTTAGATTCACTAGTAATTAAGAGGAACACTAAAAGAAAGCCCTCAAAATAGACGAAAATAGTCGAAAACGAAAAATATAAAAAAAGATATATAAAAATATTAATCAATTAAAAGTATATAAAATGCACGTATATTAATAATATATAAAATGTAATAATAATGAAAATATATGTGTCAATGACGAGATGGTGTATCATTATTATCAATATTATTATCACTATTGGTATCATTAGTAGTAATAGAAAACAAATTACCTGCCGTTTAAGCGTTTCCGTATCTTGATCGCCAGTAACAAATACTTGACGCATGTATGGTTCACACTTCCTTGCCACCTGACCAATCTGAGTGCTATCGGTGGGGACATCGCGCCAGCACAATACCTATTACAAATCACGCAATCACGAAAGGCGTGCAAAGAACACGAAATTTAGCTAAAATATTAAAAATAGATTAATAAGTAATACAAACATACTTGCAAATTGCACTCCTCGGCCAGTTTCTCAAACGCGGTCTCCACTTCCTTGTGCGTGTTCTTATCGAGGAATAAAATACCGGTTGCGTATCGTCCGAACTCGGGCAATATGATATTTTGCTGTTCGCTGTAAAATATAAAAAGTATAATTTAATGAACCTAATTCGTTAATCATTAAAATAAAATTTCTATAGAAGAGGATCTATATATTTTTCCATGATTTATTTATTTTTTTTGTGAATCAATGATGGAGAAACTAAGTATTTATAAATTTAGAAATCTCCGACAAAACAAAGATTTGTCAAAACTATGCCAAGGATTTTTGTGAAATTGAGAATCTGCAAGAATGATTACAATTTCAAATATATAAAAAGCAATAGATGCATGCATGATATTAATAAATTTTAATAGATTTTATGGAATTGAGAAGTCTCTGTAAGAGTCTACGAGGGTCTGTAAAATTAAGAATTTATACCACGAACGGTTTATGAAATTAACTTTTTAATTATTTGTAAAATATATTTAATATTATATAAAAATCTCAAATAAAAAATGCAGTGATATAAAAAAAAACTCAAACCACCGATAAAATCAAGAAAAAATATGATACTTGATCTTTGCCATTATGAAATTATTAATGACATTATAAATTCTTTGTATTACGCAGAAATTAAATTCGGAGTCAGACAAGCGCCACATCTATAGTTAGGTGTAACACGGGCTTTCAATTTGGCTTAAATCCGATGTCCTATAAATATATTGAAAATTACAAACTATACATATACATTTCGGGGCATCTAAGATTCGGTGGTTTCATCGGTGGATGAGACGTATAGTATGTCGATGTGTCGGATTCTCTTACCGAATTTCATTGGCATAGTAATCGTGCGGTATTGCGCAAAGTACACCAGCCCCATCACCAGTGTCATTATCGCAAGCGCAAGCTCCTCTATGATTCATACGCGCCGACAGTATCTGAGCATCTAGTACAATCTGAAATTCGCACAGATAACGATGACATAAATAAATAAATAAATCATCCAGTGCAAACGAACCGGTCCAACAGCTTTCTTATCTTGTGCGAGCGAACAAAAGATCATGTAATTCACGTATTAACGAGTCGTTTATCTTTCTCTTTCCTCTCTTTAAATAGATATCCCATCAATTTACATTCCCGATTTATCTAATCTTCTCTCTGCTTTAATTAGCGCTTTCAACTATTTTGGGTTTTACAATTTAATTTCAATGTTAAAGATTTCTTTCAAAAAGATATAATATGAAATTGAATTTGTTTTAATTTTTATTTCTAAAAAAATTATCTGTATAATTACAAGTTATTTGATATGATGTATTTGTTTAATAATTTTGTTGTTATATTATGCATTATTATTACATGTTCTATCATTAGTTTTATTGTTTATTCTGATTTGTGCGATATAAAACAATATATTAATACATGAACACGCGTATGATAGATTGTAAAGATCAAGTGGAAGATACTCGAGAGATATAGAAGTTCTTTTTTTTCAAATTTTATACTTAAAAGTTATATAAAACTTGAAATCGACTCACTTTATGCGATCGCTTTCCATCAATGGCGACGATAAAACCAACGCCGCAAGCTTCTCGTTCGAGGGTAGGGTCGTAAAGACCTTGCTTCGGAGGCAAGGTCCACGGTTCAGAAGTCATCGTAGTTGATTATAATCTGAAAGACGAGAGGAGAAAAATCCTTATCATACTATTAATCAAGATTTACAGATTAATTTATGAATAAAAATAAAAGAAACTTTCGTAATCTATTCCATCAATGCGTTCTATCGTATATAGTATAGACATCGCAAAATATTAATTCTCGCAATTAATTCTCAATGAATCGATGTACATGGATCGTTGTTTGTAATTAATGCTGCCAATATTTAAATAAATAGAAAAGTATATTTAATATTTAATTCAATATAGGCGCATTAAAATTCAATATTTGAACAAAATCGTTTCTTGCCCATCTGATTTGCAGAATCGCAATCTCGAAGATTAATTTGTCAGTATGATATTTGATCATCGGACAGATAGATATCTCGCATGTGAAAATCTGCGCATTTAGGGGCCAAGATTGTGAGGATGATTTGGGGGAGAGGAGGAAAGGGGAGAGCCATCGAGGTAATACAGAATATCGTATTGTCGTTATATAAATATACAGTGCGTAACTTTGATACGTGACTTTGTCATCGTCATCGTCGTCGTCGTAACAAATCGCAATAATGATCGACATGTGCAAACAAACCGAAGAAAACGCGCTAAAGAAATCAATATTGCGACGCATTTCACGTGCTTATCCGATGTACCGAGCATGTAACAGATAGATAGGGGTAGCCAACCGCATTTTGATAGTGTTCTTCATGTTCTTCATGTTCTTCTTCCTTTAATCTGCTTTAGATAATTTTATTCGTGATAATTTTTATTTATAAAATTAACTAAATTTAAGAAAGTAAAATTAACAAATTTGAAAATCATCTTTTTAAAAACAGATTCCTTCTGACGAAAAAATTAAATTAATTTATTCTTAATTTTCTACAAAGTTTAGTTTAGTTTGTTCTTTTTTCATCGTTAATTTAGATTTGTACCGCGATATTTTTGTTATCGATCTACTATTATGTAATGGATCACTCGACGATTGTGGAATACTTTATATAATTATAAACAGAACTTAATCTTTAACGTGAATCATAGATCGTCCAAAGCGGAATTTATAAATATTTGTCTTTTTCGAGAGATAGAGTCTCCTCTTCTTTTTCTAATTTTTCTCGATATTTTGTTTTAATTTACATGGAATCTTTCAAGAATCGTTATAATAGATGGTATTTTGTATCGTCATGTACGAATAATTGGAACTGAGAATTAAAAATTTAATAATCAATGTCTAAACATTTGCATTCGTGCACAATTTTTCACTGAGAAAAAAGTGTTGACTCTATTTATTGTAATCCGATTATTAGAAGAAAATTTGTTTGATTTTACTGACCTTTGAGTTTTCATTCTGGCAAGATACCATGACATACTCGATTATCGTATGAATCTTATCGAATCGATTAAAAGATATAATAATTAAGTCGACAGTAATTGAAATTAACACGCAAAAAGAAATCGAGATAATTTAGAACTCAAGATAAATGATAAAATGCATCGTTAAATGATATTCTTGTTTTTAAATAATACAAAAACATACTTCTCTTAAGTCTTCAAAATTATCTTTCTGCATATAAAAATGTTAGAAACAATTTTCGATTCGAGATTAATATTTACGACATTAATATTTCAATTATTGCGATTAAATTGGTTGTATAAACATTTTAGTTAATTTATTTTCCACCGTCAACTCTTAATAATAAACGATCTGTAGTGCTTATAATGGACATTTTTCAGCAAGCGACACAGACACAGTGTGTCACTTCATCCTTGTTTGCCGAATGTAAATAAAGATGAAATGATTCACTGTGTTACACTTTGTCCTGTGTCCCTTGCTGAAAAACGCTCAATACTTAAATCTGAAAAAAAATAGAAGAGTATAATCAATGTAGATAATTTCGCAATTGCATTAAACATAAATACAATCAATTAAAAGCTGACATTATTATTTCTCTGTTCAATCCGTAAATACGTGCTCGTTCGATTCCGCGTAATTTACGATGCTTTTAACAACGAAAGTCGCCTACAATGCTAATGTTGGAAAGAGAATCAGACGTTAAAGAATTTGCGTGCCGATGAATCCGCGAAAAACCTCGCAAGAATTGACCACCTCTGTCGCGAGTGATACCCACGTGCGATAGGAAGAAGTGGAGGAAACGATCGATACGACATATAGGGTGTGTCGTATGAAAGCTATAACGGTATGTGACGGCTCGGAAGGATGCTGAAGGCTTCCCGAAGATCGATACCAGGATATAGGCAAATCGAGGAGGAGGGGGCCAGAAAGCTTGGAAACTTGCCAAAAATTTTGAAAATCAATGTTTAGACAGGCAGTACCATTAGATATTTATTTTCGGCGCACTTCGTAATAAAAAGATGAAAATATAGAAAATAATATCGAAATATATACATCACGCTCTCTCGATATGCTCGTGTCAGGTGTACAAATAAAAATATTATTACCATATTATCTCTTTCCGGGATTAAGACATAATAGTAAGATAATGAAAAGTGCAGATTCTCTTTATCTCGCAAATGTTCATGTAAATGTCAAACACGTGATAACATTATTATTAGGCGATGTTAATGAAGTCTGAAAACTAGAATTATCATTCTTTGATAGATTGCTGTAAAATGTTTCCTTGGCAAAAACTCATTACGCTTAATTATTTCGATTATAATTGATTATATCACTATTAATACAAGTAATAATTGTATATGTAAAATATAGATCGTAAATCTTAGGGCCTGAATAAGTCGTGAATTTAAAACCTGTTCCTTCTAGTTTGCGTGTCGACAGGATAAGGAATCCATGATGGGGGGGTGCGATGTTCCAAAATTATCCTCGAGCTATTCCGGCCATTTCGAGACCGGAGAAAATGTATTTTCACGTATTCGCGTTGTTATCATTGGAATTACGTCACAGTTACAAACTGGAATAGACATACACATACACATACGAGAAAAATATAATCGTTTTTGCATTGCATTTATTCGCTGCGCAGAAATACCGGACATATTGTAGCAACAAAAATAATCCGCTTCGCGCCTTCAGGCATGAATTTCTCGATAAATTTAAAGTCGTAATTACGAAAAGCGTTCCGTAATATTATTATCAAATTATTATAATTGCAGTTGTAGCAAAACAAGAAAGTTGTGAATTAATCGGAGCAAGTTTTAAATGACGCGTAATTAATTTTTTTTATCTCGAGATTATTTAAAATGTGCGTGAATTTTTTTATGTAGAGAAAAAAATCAATATTTTTTCAAAAAGAGCTTATCAATGAAAATTCTCTGAGGATTACTTTCTGGAAAAAAATATTTACTTATTGTATTATATCATCTGAGAATTCGCAATTGAAAAAAGGAAGAAAAAAAATACAATTTACTTTTGCATATTTTGTCATAGTAGTAAAAACGTGATTTCTTGAAACGCACTAAGAATGCATGTGTGTAACATGTCCCTCGTATTTTAACCTGTTCATTCTCGTTCTGCGACTCGTTCCTCGCTTCGAAGTGGCATAAAAGAGAAGAGAAGTAAAGAAAAAAAAGTCTACACGTGTGGGGAAGAACGTTATACGTCAGGACTGGATTTATACAGATACTTATGAGAGCATTGAACACTTGGTGAACAGCGCGTCTGTGTGTACAGGGTGTCTCTGAAAAATATATATCATTCCAATTTATCGTATTCAAATTTGAAATGTATTTTTGGAGAATCCATTTTTTTTTAAATTCTTTTAGCGTGTTTTCCACGAGAAATTTTCTCAACGGCAAACTAAAATTTTTTCGTAGCTGCTTCAAAAGATTTTAAATAAAAATTTTTTTACGTATTGAATATTATTTTCAACATTTTTAATATTATTGTAAAAATAACTAATAATAAGAATATATTTACTATTCTTGATTCACGTACAATTTACATATTTGATCTTATACAAATTGTATTTATATTTTAAATTCCTTTTTTTTTTGAGGAACATATAAATATAAAGTTATATATATTTATATTCAGTACTTTTATTTAAAAAAATAAAATCACAAATTCATAATATTTTGAATTATGTTAGCGCGTATTTTCTCTCTTTCTATCTAAATGAGTTTTTTTCTTATTTCGAAGATCTTATTTGTCTAATAAATTCATCATAGAATGCCCTTGAAAATGTAAAAACAGTCATATTCTGATTTAATTAATTCTCCATGAGACATCTCCCACTCCCCGACCTCAAGTTGACTTAAAAAAAAAAATACTTTGTTTTGACGAACTCGGACGGTTCATATCGCACACGCACGCGATACGCATTTTCTTCACAGTCGACGTGGCGTGCAAGCTCGTTCTTACCGTAATCGTATCGGTAGGTTGTTCCAAAAACTGCACGTGTCCTCCTTATGGCCAATTAGCACTATTTCCAGAGGAGACCGTTTCCCGCACGTTGATTAACCGTCGTCAATTTAGTCAATTATCGATCAATCGTCAATCAGCAATGTTATATCGGCGCCTTCTTTCGTTTACACTCGTATAAAAAACGAGCCAAATGTTCACAACGATATACACAGTATCTTCTGCGATATCTCGACGCACTCGACAATTCAATTTCTGAACGGAGAATAAATTTAATTCGATCTCGTTCGATCGTCGTTTTTCATTAACGATCGTACAAGAAACTCGTCCCGAACCTGCCTGAGGAAGACCGGTAACGGGAGAAGGGCGCGTTTCGAGTCCTGCGACTAACGACTTCTCTCTATCGCCTCTCGGATATAGTCTCGATTTGATATTCGGCAAGAGTAAGAAAAAAAGTCCAACATACGCAGAAACCACCAGGAGTCGAACAGGAACTGAGCCGGCGGGCGCTCGGATGTCGGCTAAAAACCTAAAAGCTTCTCCACGCCTCCCTTCGTCTCTCTCCTGCCCAGACGCGGCTCGTCCCCCCCTCTCCACGCATGACGTCTTTGTCTCTCATTCCATCATCGACGCGCGCCGTCTCTCCCTTCCCTACCTTCCCCCTCCACGACCTTCTCCTTCCCCGGATTCACGAGTTTAATGCGGCGCTTGCCTCCCCCGACCCCACACCCCTGCCGCATCGCGTTCCGAGACGTCTCGACGAAGTCGAAGTGCCCGAGTCGCGATACGAATCGCAAACGAAGCACCTTTTTGCAAAGCGCGAACGTCTCTTGCGTGAAGATGTTTTGCCCTCCCTCTCTTTTTTTTCTTTTTTTTCTTTTTCTCTTAAGCGACTTTATTATTCTCCGCAGTATTTAGCTGTAAAATGTATTGCGCATAATTTCGAGCGATTCATTACGAAGATGCTTCTTCGTATGCGATGTACAACTAATGTGACTAAACGTTACAAAACTCGCGATGAATAACGCTAATCACATTAATCGGAGGCTTATCAAATTTATTTTTAAAGCGTCATATTTTTCATTCTAAAGTTTACATTTTTTTCAGGCATATTTCGCTTCGAAGCAAATATTTTTAAAGCAAACGCAAAATGTTTTGAAACGATTCGAGCTTGGAGCAATTTTCATTTTTTTCTCTCTTGTAAATATTTGGAGAATTTGATCTCGAGTACATAATCATTAACATTAATGAAGTTTTAAATATATACATATTAATTATATTCCTTTCTAGAACTAGTGGTTTCGGAAATATCACATTATATTTGAAATACGACTAATTTATTTTTCTGATTTGTCGTTTCGAGATTTCGGTTTATTTTGAAACACATTGTGTGTTTTGTTTATATTTATCACAATGGAGCGCGATACTTGACATCTTTAGCCAGGCGTGTGTGTGAATGTCCTCTATATTTTTAACACAACGATGTAGCCTCTTATTCTTGACGGAGTTTATATAATATAATATAATTTAATAATAATTTTATAATATAATATAATTTAAGAATAACATTCAATTTAAAAATAATACATAATTACACAATTTTCGAACGATAATTTAATAATTCACGATTTGCACAATGTTATTTATTTCCAGTCGTCAATTTAGGACATATGGAAATTTAATAATCTGTGTATGGATAATGTACATGTATCGAGAGTTATGTAACGTTTTGTACTGTGAGCATTTGATCGATAAATTCCAATGAACATAGCATAAATGCCGATGTATATAGATAATGAAAGAAAAAAGATACGTAATGCTCAACAACTTTGATAATTAGCATCTGACGCAGCTGTTACATTTTGCAAAATCAAAGATAAGTAAGACTTGTATAAATTCTTCATGAAACTTTAAACAGTCTTATCGATGAATGCAACGTTTATTCAGAATTATTTCAAGGCTTTCGTATGCTAATTTAGCGCAACAGGGTATGTAATAAATTTATATTGAAGTTAACTTATATTATTGAGAGTTTAGACACGTATCGCTACTTGGTTGGAAACAATATCGAGAACTGTCAAAGTTCTTCCTCCTCCCTCCCCATTGTCGTTGTCGTAATTATATGCTGTCTTCGCGGTTTTCCGTTCTGTCAACAAAATTGCATGAATTGCGAAATATCACTCCTTTGAGAATCTTGCACTCGTTTGACGAGTGGTGTTAATCTCGCGTATCGTGAAAAAATTTGAATTTTTCAGATTATACATATATCTCGCGATAAAATTGCGATAAAAGGAATATCCAGTCCAAGTAAAAAGGGGACTTCTGTATGGATTTATTTATAACGCTTGGTAAATATTGGCGTTTATTACAAGATTTCAAAAATTATTTTCGAGGCAGTAGATTTTATACCATTGTTAGTTAAATAAAGGATCGATGATGTAAATTTCGAGAAATGATAAATGTTCGTCAACTGATGTGTAAACTTTGACAAATTTGACATGAAATAATTTAACACCAAGATATTTAATATTAAAACTTGAAAAATATTATGACGTTCTAAAAGTTATTTTATTTTTTATTAAAAAGAATATTCATAATCAAATTATGCATCTATTATTAAACCTAACCAGCATATGAAATAAATGTTCAACTATTAAAATACGTAAACCAGAAATACCGTAAATAATTCCGAACCTGTCATAAATATGTTAAAAAGCTGCGATAAATTATTATGTTTATTGATGAAAAAATATAATCATATATGTTGGCGATAATAATATTAATAGGGATATTATTGATAGACATTATTAAATCAATTTGTAATTATTCGATGTTTATATCGTTTATCCCGCGATGTTGTCGTGTAATTAAATCTGTAACCTTTAAGAATCATACAGCTATCAAGAAAAACTATCTGTTATTATGAGAGGATTATATTTCGCGCACAAAAAGAGATTATATTCGAAGTAATCTCGGCTGCCTATCACGTATCAAAATGCAAGTGCATTTATTATAGTATATGTACAATGTGTGTCCTAAATGTACATGCGATAATAATGACTTGTCTACGATAATTTCTCGAGACATCTTGTATAAATTGATTTACCTCGTGTTATCTTCTACCAACTTTTGATTTATTAAATTATCTCGGTAAATAATTAATTTTTTAAAATCTTGTTAAATTGCTCAGTACATAATTCATTTTTTTTCTGATAATGAAACTTTGATATTGGCAGGATTAATTTTCATTTTTTTAGAGATAACGTCTGTCGAATATCGTCGCATACTATTCGAAGCATGCAATCAGCTTCATCATGCGGTTTGACGCAAGATATATACGCGAACTTCGCGCGAGATCGATAATGTGATTAACACAGACAAGGATGAAGAATTGCAGAAACGAAGCGAAAGAGAGAAGAAGGAAACGAGAACGCGATAGATCGTTAAATTTTACTGCGTAACTAGCATGATAATATTTGCGATAGAAAAAAAAGGAAAAATATAAGTTATCGAACGACTAAGTAAGACTGTGTGTAAGCGTAAGCGCATCATTAGATAACGAATAGTTAAAAAATTCGTGATTATTCTATATTTAGAGTTATTACACGCACATAATGGAAAGAACTGCAGAGACAGATATCACGTGCCTCAAAAATGCGGCACGTGCTATCAATTCTTTTCGAAATGAAAATAAATCGTGATATAAAGTAGTGTTGACTACTTTAGTGTTGACTACTTTGCATAGAACAGACATATAGTAGGAAAGAAAAATACACAACCATTAGATGGATACATGGAATGTCTTGCGACAAAATGTTTAGCGTATTTTTAGCGAATTTATTGTCGACAAGATCATATAAATGATAGATCCGAGTGGCCTTACTCCTGTTCAAAATATTGAAAATCATGGTCAAGATTTGAGATACTTCGTTCTGATACTGTCATTAAAGAATTATGAAACCTATGAAGTTTAATTATATGAATTGTATTTTTACAATTTTTTACTTTTAATCTCTTTTATCAGCTATGTTTTATCTCTTCTATCAGTTAATTTTTATCTCTTTTATTAATCAATTTTATTATCACTGATTTTTAATCTCATTTAATTAATGGTACATACATTTTTATACATGGTATATTTCAATGCATAGAATAATGTAGAAAAATAATAGTGTTTTATATAAAAATTGTTATATAAAAGTTGTTGTATAAAATTGTTGTATAAAATTGTTATATAAAATTGTTATATAAAAAAAACGCGAAAATTTTATTATTTCTTGATGATAGAAAAGTTTTAAGTTAAAAAATGGGAATTTAATTGCTATCAACGATGTTTTCGTATAGAAAATAATTAAACAGATAAGATGAAATTGATGTTATAGAGGTCAGACAAGAAAAAAATGTATTGAAGTTTATTATTTAAACAACAGTTACAATTTAAGAAAACAAATTATGCGCCAATATATAAATTTTTAAAATTACTTTTTAAAGTTATTATTCTGTTATTGTTTCTACGAAAAAGAAAAAGATTGAAATCTCTTCGGCTTTACAAAAGCCCCCCCCGCGAAGTCTCTAGATAATTGAGCCTCGTTAGCGCGCGAAGAACCCTATGGATGAAATTGTATTTGTGACGTCAATGCCAATCTTGAACACAAAAGTTGCGTATCATTTTGTCTCGTAAGATTGTGCAATACGAAATGATGCGTATGGTAATAGGATTTACGCAACCCAGTACTTTGCGGGGGCTTTTTTATCCCGGGGCGCCAAAGAGAGAGAGCTCTTTGCTCTTTACTTTACTAAAGATGATCGTGAACGAGAGAAATGAAAGCGAAGCACATTTTAATCACTTCTTTATACGTAAACGATATTACGAGCGGATGAAAAATAAACGAAAACAGATAGAATGCATCATTCTCCGAGCAAGGGAATGCGAGGGGAAAGAGTCAACTTCCGCGCGTTCGCGATCAATCGAGCTTCAAACATTCTTCGAGTTATCTCGCGTCGAGGAGCGACGCGAGGAGTCATTATCATATTGCCAAGGTCGGCAACGTCTTGGACATCAATTGGCGGAGTCTCTGAGAGAGAGTGAGAGGAAGGATTTCGCGCGTTATCGCGCGAGTCAAGATCGCGTCGCGATTCGCGCGACATGTTATCACGACCACTGTGCGCGTCTTCGCATTTCCGTTATCGGGAACAGAAACATACGGTGGTCGCATGATTCTCTCGATGTATAAATTTCGCACTTGATAAAGAATCCTGCGTCAAATCGCCGTCCATCGAATATTGATTCGTTTTCTTGCGACGGGTCTTTATCGGCCGCAAATACAGATAAATATAGAATAAATATAGAAATATATAGAGTATATAAATTTTTCAAGATAATTGAAAAAATACATTTTGATACAAAGACGATTCACATTTCTTGAAGGGTCAAGGAATGAAGTACTAATTGTAAGATTTCGATCAGTTCAAGAGTCAAAGAATGAAAATACTAAGATTTCGATCAGTCAAGATAACAATCATTTCATCTGTGAAAGAAACAGAGAAAAATTACAAAAATTACATTAATAAAAATTGATTAAACAATTAATTTTTCGATATAAAATTATATATATTTATATTTGGGAAAAAAGTTTTATAGGTAATTATATATAATTATATATAATAAGATCTATTTATATTATTATTTATATGTTATTATATCAAGATATTTTTGCATAATTCGATGGTGTTATCAATATTTTGATATAATTATATGTACATAATAGTAATAGATAATAGATAATAGTAAATAGATTTTATTATACATACTTTATATATTTAGAGTAATTATTTATATCTACACAATTATATAAATTAGATAAACTTGTTTTCCAGGTATTTAAAATTATCGAAATAATATTGATGCGATTGCACATAATGGTATGTTAACAATGTAAAGAGGAAAAATTGTTAGATTCAAGACTAAAAAAATATGAAAAATGATAGATTATCCAACAGTTTCTACTTCGTTATTAAAATGACTTAACATTAATTCGACATAAAT